TCATACCTTAAACATCCCTTCATGAATATAAGTAACACAGTTGTTAGGAAACGGGTACTAGGTAAGGATGGCAAATCAGTTGATGAAGTAGTGAAACTTCATCAGTTGAGATGGCTGGGACACGTGTTACGTATGCCCAACGACCGACTGCCTCGACGTGCTATGTTCAGTGGTATAGGAGTAGGTTGGAAGAAAGCTAGGGGCGGCCAAACCAAAACATGGCACAAGTCCATGAAGTCACTGACAAGTGAACTGAGTCATGTTGGTAGGTGTAGACTACCTGGTTGGGGACCACGAGATGACAGCAACCGATGGTTAGAGACCCTGAATGACATGGCTCAAAATCGTTTGCAATGGCGCAGGTGCATCCACTCTCTGTGTTCTCCCAAATTCTGAATTCTTCATGTCCCTTTTTTCCTCTTTCCAAATTTATTTCACTGGATTATACTCTTTAAATAACATCTCTAAACCCTAATCTTCCCGATTACTGCTTATACTCTTATTACCTCTACCACTACGGGATTAGAATCGACAAGTGAATCTCTGTGCTAATGTGGTGTGGCAACTCGAACTGATGTACGTACGTACGAAGTTCTACGTTGTTACTGACTGACTGACTGACCTTCATGAATATTGGCTACTCTGCCTCTCGTGTTTTCTTTTACTTGCTCCCTCTATCAGCTCCCTTGAGATATGGAACGGGTGACTTCATCCTACACCATCATTAAAGCCTTGGATATTCTAAAGGGACATAAGGTAGCGATTTCTAGAAGCTCATACCTTCAATGGACCTATCCTTTACCATCTGTTGCACGTTCGCAACGCAACTTTCATGAAGCGCGCCGACGGTGATACTGACTAAAACCATCTATATTCATGCCTTATAATTTAGCAACCCAGCTATGTAATTTACTACAATGGGTATTGTATCATTTGTTAAAACTTGATCTTGCCTGTAAACTGGCATGCCTCATGTAACAAACTGTTATTTGAGAATAAATTATTATTATTATCATTATTATTAAAAATCATTTAAACAGTTGAAGCTCCGCTCGGTGAGATGAAGGATATTTACAGGAAAGAATGATGACGACGTGTGGTGAAAAGCGAGACTCTTCGGATCAGTCAGCTACAACGTAGGACCAGGCACATATATGCATCGGTCCAAGTTGCCATACCTCAGTACCACAACAAGATGAACACCCGATTCATAAAAGTAGTTAATTCAGAGGAGGTAATATATAAAAGAAAGATTGCAATAAGGATTTAGTACAGGAAGAAAGAATTAGTTCGTAGAAAGAAAGATATGAAGCGATTTTAATCTCTTAGATTAAGGGAAGACAGAGAGTGTATACACCGACGCCATTGTGATCGATTCTGAGCCATGTCACCAAGAGTCTCCAACCATTGGTTCCGATAGTCACGCGGACCCCGGCCAAGTAGTCTGCATCTCCCAACATGGCTCAGAATAGAAGTTAGTGACTTCAAGCGCTGATGCCACGTTTTGGTTTGGCCACCCCTAGCTTTCTTGCTTCATCACGATAGGCGAGCCCGACAAATACTTCAAGGTAGCAACAACGGTCAGGGAAGCCCCGGATATCATAGGGCCATTTGTTCTTTCGACAACCGAACCAAGACTAATATAGGCATGTGGAACTTTCCGGTCACTAAAGAACAAAGCACACTGTGATTCAAGAGCAGTTGGCTAGAATTCTTTGATGAGCTACTGAATGACTCATCTCCACTGAACCGGCTGAATATGAAGGCAGAACATACAGACCTCCAAGTAGTTAATAGCCCACCAACAATAGGAGAAATTGACATGGCCCTCAGATTACTCAAAAGTAGGAATGCAGCAGAACCAGTTAACAAACCAGCCGAATCACTGAAGTCAAACAGAAAAGTAGCTGCAGAGATGCTTCACTTTTAATTCAGAAGGATTTAGAAGGATGAACGAGCAATGACAGACTGGAAAATATGATACCTCATCGATACACCAAAGATAAGCGATAAAAGCAAATGTGAAAATGTAAGAAGGGTCAAGTCACGACCAGTACCAGAAAAGTTTTCAACAGATTGTAGTTGGACTGAATAAAAGTTTGGTAGATGCTCAACTTTAACACCAACAGCCTGGATTTCATAAGGACGTATCATGTACTGGACAAGTCACGACACTACGTATCATGTCATAAATATTCAGGTTTGGAAAACTCGTTGTCACCAAAAATCCCAAATGCGGTCAAACCAGAAACCAGGAATTGCAAAGTTCTAAGATAAATTAGGCGTTCAGTATATTGAGATGCGTTTGTTATACGAAGTTCATTTGTTGCTAATAGTGCACAGCATGGCGCTTCCAGTAGTGATCTGGTGCGGATGTGTGACCGAGCGCCTTCAGAGCTTGACACCAACTTATTGTGCATAAGGAAGCATTCGGTAACGTGGATACTGATGTCTGGTGGAATATTCTGTAGATTATCTCGAAGGATAGTTATGGTCATAAAGAACTGCAGTGGTACTGATGTTAACTACAAAGCCGAACATGAGATCACTAGGGAAATATATATATTCAATATATAACGCGGAGAGGAGGCCAACAATGGTCAACGCAGGAATATTGAATTCAATCGGATGGCACGGCTCAGTCTCGCAGAAGTGGACCTTCTCTATAGCCTGTCTTTATTCACCTTAAATATGTCATTCTTTCTTTAGCATAGATGTATTCTTCGGAAGTATCAGGAGCCATATTGCTAATTGTCACGACAAGTCAGTATAGATAATGATGAGATTTCCACCAAGATCTTATAGATCAGGTAGTCACATCATGACAAATCTGCAATTTTAGGATTAGGTCTATTATTAGAAAAGTTCTAATAACGAACTTAGACCATAATTCTACCTAACTCCCATGAGTGTATTGATTGCAAAGTAGTCCATGGAGAGACAGTCCACAAAATCCTTCCAAACGATTATTGGTGTCAAGAACGGGTGTCTTCTCTCGCTTTTTTTCTTTCTTCTGGTTGTTGACTGAATCATGGAGGCCTCGACATTTCACAAAACTCATGGAATACCCTGAATACATCCAACATGACAAGATAACTTATACTTTGCAAATGACCTAGCTCTTTCATTTCATACACAACAACAAATGCAAGTAAAAACAGTTAGTGCAACAGTAAGCCTCAACATTCAATGGAATGCAGCACAAATAAGATCAAGCAAACAGCACTTAGTGTAGAAGACCTAAAAGAGATAGAATCTTCGGCTTCGTATTTGGGAGTTTTTGCTCCGGGAACCTACGAAATTGAAGAACGACATTTGGGTCGACTATTTGTAAGTTGCAAATAAACTTTGGTACCTAAATTAGAGCTCGGTTCTATTGTTAATTTGGGTCCGTAAATTGCAAATAGATCGATATACCATACTTCAATAACGGGAACGAGCGAAAACGTGAACGTAACATCTGATGCAGTTAAAAAACACTGATTGACAAACCGAGGACAGCATTTTCATGTCTGATGAGCAGTCGAACTTCGTAAGGGCTGTCAGGAAACAGTGATGTCAAACTTTTTATCCCATACATCAAGACAGTTCTATTGTACGATGCTAAAACCACAAGGGCCATTGCAATAATCCGACAGCTGTCTACACAAAATACTCCACATCATTTAGCCAGATCACCATCAGCAATAAATGACCGTGACAGGAAGCAAACCATCTTTCAGCTGAAAAATAAGTTGAGGACAGATACTGGAGGTGGTAAAGTAATGCTGTATGGAAACCATCAAACTGCATCTCAAGGCAAGGTTAAAAGAAAAAAGAGCAAACCAAAGAACACATTGTGCCAGATAACAAAATGATGAATAGCACATGGGAACAACTCGAAAAGATAGCTCAGGGCAGAATTAGTTCGATATTCGTGTTGAGCATCCTGTGCTTCAAGAAGAGTGACAGGCTTCAGTGTGTATGTATGAAAGCATGCGGTGATTGAACGGACTCTAGGTAGTCCACAAACTACAAAGTTCAGAGGAGAGCTACAAGTAATCTCCACAACCAGGTGGTTTATCCTGAGTGACGAGACTTCGTCAGCTACGAGGGAGATGCAGACATGGATCACGATTCTTGCGTCCTCTGCATAATCTCCGCCATCACGAAATGGTAGGATGTCGTCTTGAGAAGTATGTTAGCAATACTACAGAAATTCATATGATTATGGAGATTGAATTTTATCGAGATCATGAACTGATCAATGTTATAACACCATAGAAAACCCTAAAGCTCTGGCCGGCTGTTTCTTCCTAGTGTGGGACTACTCGGTAGTGCGTATCCACGATCCCGCACCCAGGATTCCAACCTAGGGTTTTTGATTTTGTTCAAACATTTTACATCGAGACTACCAAGACGGCATCCAACGGTGTTAATGTCTAGCTTGGACCAGCCCACAACGTTGTGCGACCATCTTCCATTTTCTTCGTTCAGTAAATGCCTCACAGCTGACGTAGCTGAAATCCACTGGTTACGGCTTCCCAGCAAAGCTCCGAGAATTACCTGCCGAAGCTGGGTGCTAGTTGGCAAATGATTATCCATTATAATTAGACTGTATTCTCCCAGTAGATTTCCGATCTCGGGCATACATGATAGTAACCCCTCACATTACTCAATAGGCAATGTGTGAAAGGGTGACAGTCTCTGAATGAAACTGATAGGACAGATTGAAAGAGATGTCACCAAGTAGCAGGTTAGACTTCGTTGGGTCAATTTGTTTGGACTCTAAGGGACAGTAAGATTGGATCGACTAGTCTGATTCGTCAAAGTCATACGTCATCAGAGGTAGTAGAATAGAAGCCCACGTCGAGTCGCTCTCTGATGAGTCGCTCAATAAACAGCTGCTTGATTACTTGAGAAGCTCGTTCGAAGTTTCTGTTCAGTTGTCTGGTATGTCTAGGTCAGCTGTCATAAATGCTAATACCCCGTCAGAGTTATTATACAAAGACAGGTTAATACCAGAATTGAATCGCTTCTCTACGGAGAAAATACGTAGACGGCTTGTTACCATTTGTTTACCATTTTATAAGTGTTTTCTTCAGGATGGGTTCGACATTATATTACTTTCAACTGGCACTGTAAAATCTAAAGGTTCCCACTTAGTCTGAATTAATAAATCATTCATAAGTAACAGAATCCGACTTTATTGCTTAGAGTAACTACTGTTAGCCAGCCCTGAATAACCACATCACGAACTTTTAATTACTATTTTTAATAGTTGAATTCATGAGCCGATCTGAGCTAGACCATTATTGAAACCCCCAATCTGATAATTACTATTTTGTTTACATCATATATATCCGTCAACCAACCAATCACAGCGTAACACATATCTGGAGTTGTATAAAATTCCACGTTAGAGTCTGACCTCTTAAGGATGCGTTGGTTGTTGTCGTGCCTGTTTGTCGTCACATCGGTGTCGTGTAGCAGGGTCCTTGAGCTCACTAAAGACAATTTCCATTCTGAGTTAAAGTCAATCCCAGTTGCTCTGGTGAAGTTTTACGCTCCATGGTAATTTCGATAGGGACTTATTAAAACTTCATATTAAACAGGTGTGGTCACTGCAAAAACCTAGCTCCTGAGTTCGCTTCAGCCGCAGAAATCATATCCGGGAAAACTGGCGATGTTAAACTCGTTAAGGTTGACTGTACCGCCCACGAAAGTATCTGCTCAGAATTTGGAGTTAGTGGCTACCCTACTCTAAAAATCTTCAGGAATGGAGATTTAGACAGTGAATATAATGGTCCAAGGAATGCAGGTAGGGTTCATATTATTATAACCGGGGTTCAGATGGAATCGTCAATTTTATGATGTCTCGAGCAGGACCTGTATCCAAAGAAGTCAGCACTGTTAGTGATGTCGAGAACTTCTTATCAGACGACAAGCCAACTGTGTTTGCATTTATAAAATCGTCTAGTGACCCATTAATGAAGACTTTCATGGCTCTTGCAAAATCAATGGTCGACGACGCTGTATTTTGTCATAGTCATAATAATCTTTTTGTAACTCCTGATGACTAGTAAGTTACTTGTTCTGTAATTCACATTTCTCAGCGAATTGAGAGTCTACTTGCCTAAACGTCTTCGAACAAAGTTTGAGGATGACTTCGCTCTTTATAAAGGAGAACTTGAATCTAGCAATATTAAGGAATGGATCCGTAAACATGGGTAAGGAAGCTGTTTCGTCTTATTTTCGATTTAGCCAGGGACTGGTTGGTTACAGAACACCGTCAAATTCATTTTACTTCGAAAATGTCGATTTAGTAGTATTATACAATAACCAATCCGTAGATTCATATCCATCTGGAGTAAAGTATCTAAGAAATCGTGTTTTCAAAACACTTAAGGACAATTCTAACAAATTCAAGGATTTGGTATTCGCTTATAGCTTCTCGGACGATTTTTCTTATGAACTATCTGAGTATGGTATAGAAGCGGATAAACTACCAGCAGTTGTAATCCAATCTAAAGGCAAGAAGTACAAGCTTGAGCAGTTTAGGTAAGTTGTTTTCGTAATAACTGTTTTAGTCTTGATGCATTTTCTGATTTTTTGAATAAATTTAAAGATGGTCTTTTGACCCCACATGTCAAGTCAGAACCTCTCCCAACAGACGACTCTAGTGCAGTTAGAAAGTTAGTTGCACTCAACTTTGATGAGATAGTAAATAACGAGGAAAAGGATGTAATGGTCGTCTTTCATGCTCCTTGGTGTGGTCATTGTAAAAATTTAATGCCAAAGTACGAGGAAGCAGCCAGTAAACTAAAAAATGAACCAAATTTAGTCTTGGCTGCTATGGATGCAACCGCCAATGACGTCCCTTCGCCTTATCAAGTCAGGGGATTCCCAACAATCTATTTCGTCCCTAAAGGAAAGAAATCTTCACCTGTACCTTACGAGGTAAGTATGTAGAGTCTTCTCACATATTCTTTAGGGTGGTCGTGACACTACTGACATCATCAAATATCTTGCACGCGAAGCTACTGAAGAACTTAATGGGTACGACAGATCAGGCAATCCAAAGAAAAGTGATCTATAGGTTGTCTTTAATAATCTTATTTTTCGAAACATTGTATTCTACTTTCCCATTTTTATTGATTGTTTGGTAAATCATAATTGTCATGTATTTCAACATTTAGTTGGTAATAAACCTGTTTTTTTGAAAATATTAGTTTTTTGATTTATTTTAACACTCAATTAAAATTGCCAGGTTTTGTCCATGATCAAGTTCTTCAATTGGGAATGCATATATTTGCAGTTAGAAATATCTCATTTTTGTCCCGTATGCTTCTTAACAAAAAGTTAAAACGATTTTGTATTGGGATTATTTCCTATCAGTCAGTTAAAACGTAGGACCAGGCACATATATGCATCGGTCCAAGTTGCCATACCTCAGAACAACAAGATGGGCACCGAATTCATAGTAGTTACTTCGTTGGTAGTAATATATAAAAGATTATGTATAAGGATATAATACAGGAAGAAAGAATAATTTCACAGCAATTAGGATGTAAACCAATTTTAATCTCACGGTTTAGGGGAAGACAGAGTGTATACACCTACGCCATTGTGATTGACTCTTAGCTATGTCACTGAGAGTCTACAATCATTGGTCACGCGTCTAACCTCACTACTACTTACCTAGTGTTCTCATCAGATGCGAGCAATATTTCTAAGGCAGCTGTGGTCAAATACTAGTAACTTACGAGTGTATTGTACTCTTAATGGGCATGCTTCGCTGCCGTAAAGTAGAACAGGACGAACTGCTGCGCAGTATACTCGTCCTTTTATTGATAGACGGATATCTCGCCTTTGCCATAGGTGACGGAAGTTGGCAAATGCCAAGCGAGCTTTTCGAATCCGTGCTGAGATTTCGTCAGGCACCAACCCATTAGGGTTGATCAGACTTCCAAGATAAGTGAAGTTGTCAACGCGTTCGACTGCTTCACTCCCTATCCCTAGTTCAGATGTTGACTCACACCAGTCCTGAAGCAACAACTTTCATTTAGAGGGGTGAGAAATGCATCTCAAACATCCTGGTATTGTTCAGTGTTACCAAAATGCTCTGCATTCTACCGACGTCCTCAACAGACAGGACTATGTATCCTAAGTCGATAAGTGGACCTCCTGGAAGGAGATCAATTTCTGAAAATTCAGACGACGAGAACGTTGTTTCTAGCAGTAGATCAATGACGATGTAGAACAATAATGGAGATAGTGAACAGCCTTGACGGACACCACTTGAGGTTGCGAAATCAGATGGCAGTTCACCATAAGCTCTGACTTGACTAGTAGTGTTCGAGTAAAGAGCCTTCACAAGGTTTATGTACTTCTGAGGTACACCTTTCAGTGACAGACACTGCCATAGAACCTCTTAGTCTACAGAGTCAGATACTGCTTTTAAGTCAAGAAAGAACTATCATTGTCGGGTGCCGATAAGTATGCCTGTGCTCTGAAAGCTGACTAATGGTGAATGAGTGGTCGATGCAGCCACGGCCAGATCTGAAGCCACCTTGAATTCTTCGTGTTTGCAGTTCACGAGTCTTGGTTAGGCGCCCGATAATTATTGATGCTAGTATGTTAGATGCTATATTAGTCAAACTAATCCCTCTATGGTTATTGCAGGATTATTTTGACCCCTTCTTATATATTGGGACGATGAGTGATTTTGACCAGTCAGATGGGATTACGTCCAACTCTCAGATCTTAGGTAAAATATTAGCCAACCTAATCGCTAAAATTGGGCCACCATCTTTAAAGACCTCAGGAACCAATCCATCTGCCCTTCCTCGTTTCAGATTAGCTATGCTGGATTGCTTGCTCGTCATTCTATCCCCTGCATTAATATAAGAGGTGATTTGTTGGAAATTTAGGTGAGCTTACATGATATATGTACTATGCATTTCATTCATGTAATATCCCGTCAGGTTGGCTAACAATTTAAATCTAGTAAGATGTGGATGCATAATATAATTGTTCTTTTGGTCGACCGAACCAAGCATTTCTATATTATAGCTTTCACCGAGCAGTCTTAGCGACGCCTTCTTTTACTTAACCCTGCTATCTTTTCTTGGAAGTATAATCTATCGACTGGGGATCTCCAAACAAATATACTGGGATCTTTCCCAGTCGTGCCGAATTGATATTCATGGCCTTAATCCTCGCCGCCGATTACCGGTGCTATGTTCTCTGATCTGCCTCTTACCTGAAGATAATAGCTCTAATAGGGACTTAGGGTTCTCTAACCAACCATTAGCATACCTCATGGCTTAGGTCCTTTCATCCAAGTGATGTGCCATTACCTTCGCACAAATAAAAATCGCTTACTACTTACAGCAGCACCGGTATACTTTGAAACATGCCTCACTAAATGACCAGTGGAACCTAAGGCATACTTATTTTCACAGTAAATAAGTCTATCAATGTCGATCTTTGATCTAGGTGAGACTGGTTGCTTATTCCGTGTAGTTTTCTTTAGATTGCACTGAGAACCTTTGGAACTACGCACACGCACCATCTAAAGGCATAATATTGGTATCAGTGTGGCATGGTGTAGATACATTGCATAGACTGAATATTTTATAGTATGCACAAAACTAAGTTATAATGCTATCTGCTAGCTTTGTGAAATTTCTTTTGGCTGTTTCATGGGATCAAGGTTGTTTAGTAGGTCGCAAATCAATGGTGATTAGATACTGGATGTAAACTTCTGTTGGAGATTGCAGTGTTTCATATTATTTGCTTATAATGCACATAGACCTACCTATGTTCAAACCCCATCCCACCATATTGTATGTTTTCTGTAAAGATAATTGAGTTTAGCATACACGTGTTTATCCACTTACTTGCATCTTATGCTTTTATTAGTTTATGTATAAGCTGAATCATGCTTAAGTTATATATATATACTAAGTAATTGAAGATTGACACATATCATCTTCACTGAAGTCAGATAAGGATCCTACTAGGACTAAAGGTTATATATTCACCGATGATTTTGACAGATAGTCATAACACGTTTCCAATTTCCCATACCTTACTTAAATGTTCAATCAATAATAACTGATTCTCCATGCATTTTGTACCAGAATAAATGATGACTTAGTAAAAACTATATATTTTAAACAGTGAGTGGAATTGAACGCATGTTGGTTATGGTAGAGGTTCGTCAGCTGCATTTGCCTGTGTCCTAGTTGAGTTTAACTAGCCTATCAAAAACACACCAAGTAATAGTTTATGTTTTATATATATATATATATATATATATATATATATATATATATATATAAGTATTTTATTCGCATAGATAACAATTAGTATATAAGAATAGCTATGAATATTTTTTTAAAAAATAAAGCAATACACCCTATCATTTCCAATTCAAAGTTACTACAAAAACTAATATCACAAACCTTATGGCTAGCATAAACAATAACAATAATGTGTTTGTGTGTGTAAAATCAAACAGAATGCACGAGTGAGTACAAAGTGTACATAACTGCTCAACTGTTAAGCCATGCAATTTCTATATATATATATATCAGCTGTGATTGTATAACAAGAAGACAATATTATACTGTTAAGCTCAATAAGAAAGAATTGGCAAAACGCCTTTTAAAATAACTATTAGGGTTGAAATTACGATAAATACGCTTATTTCAGAGAGACACCACTGGAGAAATCAAATATCCATAGACCTAAGGAAAAAGGAAATAACTTTCATAGAAAACACTATTTTAAGATATTATTGAACCAAAAATAGCTGTTCATGAACGTGCTATATGTGTTTAATATACTACACATACACGAAAGTTCATATTGGAGATAAAATATCGCAGATGAAGCATAGAATAAGAACATTATTTTGTGTTGAAAACGCTGTGATGCTAGTTTTATTATAATGAGCATGCGCCACTTAAATCCTCTTGACCACAATGTAACTAATTAAAAATTAATCGGGATCGATATCAGTAGTGAATTAAGCATTTCATTGAGAAGCACGTTCACGCATTTTATCTAATAACTGAATGAGTTGAATATCAAATCTTGGGCGTTTACCAGGATCATCTTTTGTACATAAATCGAATAGACGTACAATTCGACTGTCCAAATCAGGTGGAATTGGAAGACGAAGATTTTCTGTAGTTATCTACAAAAACATTATAATAGAAGAGATTCACTATAAACCATACGAAACTCAGGATATTAAAGTAAAATCGAAGTGACAGCTATATAACTTACTAGGTAGTTTAAAGGTGTTCAATTTCATGTTGGTCTGTATTTTTACACTAAATAATCGCTTAGCAGTAGTCACTCTGTCTAGTCAGTCACAAGCAACATAGAATCTGGTACGTACGTGTATCAACCTAAGTTGTCACAGCACATCAAAACAGTAATATGGGATTAACTAGGTGAATGACAAAATAGTAAAATAATAACAGTGGTAGTACAGACGATTCAACATAGAAGATATGATTCGGAAGGAAAGAACGAACGCAGAGAATAAGGTGTAGAAAATAGTTCTGAAACGAGGAACCTAAAGGGAGCCAAAGATTTCTCTATTGGCTAAGTTATATTGAAACATTATTCTCACCGTAAAGCATTTTTAAATAAAGATGGATGGTGGCTATCAGTTAAATTCAGGACGCCCGTCTCGTTCTACTTGGGAATTGTGAACTGCATGTATCTGCATCCCGGAATTGAAGTTCACTTCTGGTCTCGAACTCAATACCGTTCGCTTCAAACGCGATTGCGTCATCCACTTAGCTACTGAGTTCAGATAACCAATAGCGTATACAGTGGGGTGAAGTATTAATTCATTTTCGTATTGGTTGTTTGAATCTTCCCATTGATGTTTAGGATGGCAACTGGTCAAATTGCCAATAAAATCTACTCTGAGAGTTTATCGATCAGTCATAAAAAATGTTAAAAGCTAATTTATTATTCAAGAGCATGGTAGTTGAACTGCATGACTGATCCATGATTAGTTTTTTATAATCTAGCGGTAACAATATTAAAGGCAAGAATGATTAGAATCTGGTTATACAAAAAAATAAGTATCGTAACTCAAGATTTTAGTAACCGATTTTGTAGCATATTAACAGATGACATTTGTTTTTACAATATCATTAAAATGCGACTGTGCATTCAAATGACAATTTC